TTTTCCAAAAGAATTGGCCAAGTACAAATTATAACTAAACTTTATATTTGTTAAGAGAATTTAATTAACCAAGTTTATAATCCAGGTTTATATACATAAGAAAGTTAGTGTTCAAAGTTTTAATAGGAATCAATGTAATACATCCATTAAACACCCAAAAAGTTGATGAATGTTTGTTGCCACACACAAAAGTCCCTCAGACACTGATTCCTTTCTTTTTTTTTTGGAGACAGAGTCTCAAGCTATTGCCCTGGGTAGAGCTGTGACATCATAGCTCAGCAACCTCCAACTCTTGGGCTCAAGCCATCCTGTTGTCTCAGTTTTTCTATTTTTAGTAGTGACAGGGTCTCACTGTGGCTCAGGCTGGTTACAAACTCATGAGTTCAAGCAGTCCACCTGCCTCAGCTTCCCAGAGTGCTGGGATTACAGGCGCAGACACTTGATTCTTAAATTCAAAGCCACCAAATGTCTTTTATATATATTTTTTACAGTTTCTAACTATGAAAAAAAGAAATTTTACTTAAAACATTATTTGAAGAAATTATTACATGTAATTCATAATTTTTATTATTTTTAAAACCTAATTTTTTAAAAACCAAACTAAATCATTTATATCCTCAATAAATCTTTTAGGCCAAAGGAAACAGTTCTATTTCATCTAGTCAGAATTTAGTCCTAGTAGAAAAGTAAACTAAAAATGTTTACTGTTGTGATCTTTAGTACAATAATAGGTGATTTTGGATTTCTTTTCTGTATGTTTTTGTATTTTCCAGGTTTTCCCCCAAGCTCTTTTGCCTGCTTTTAAAATAAAAGGAAAAATTAATTTAGTCTAAAGGCTTAAGATTTCTTCCTCAGTTAATTCTCATTTCTCTATTTTTGTTGTTTTGTTTTACTTAGGGAAAAATGGCTTTGCTGGCCTCAAATAGCTGCTTCATTAGATGCAATGAAGCAGGTGACATAGAAGCCAAAAGTAAAACAGCAGGAGAAGAAGAAATGATAAAGGTAAGTGTGCCAGTTTTCTATAAATGAACACATGTCACATATGTGCTGACTGTATCTCTTTAAAAACATAGAATCATCACTTACTATCACTTTAAATTTTAATTAATGGCTTTTTATAATACATTCCAAATAAGCTTTATTTTAATCATAAATCTCTGATTCATGACTTATTTATACATTGCAGTAGAGAAAATACCACACCTACAAGCTACTGTGTATTAGTATCTTTTTCTCAGTAGTTCCACCTGCTTTCTAGGCCTGTTTTTTTGTTTCTTCTTGCCTGCATTTTAAAAATTAGTTTTTGAAATATGTAAAATATACACCTGGTTGAAAATTTTTGAGATAAAACAGGTAAAGACATACTCCTCCCATCTACTTATTCACCTGTCCATTTATCCTGTTCCTGTTCCTCCTCCTTTGTTTTTTTGTATTGTCTCAAGTTTCCTTGCAAATATATGAATATGTTTATAATTTTCAACATTTTTACACTGAAGGCAGCCTCCTATACATAGTCATTATAGACTAATTTTTTTCTTAGTACTGTATCTTGAAGATTTTTCCTGTCAGTATATATGTAGAAAGTTTTCTCTTTATTCCTCTTCCCTCCATTCCTCCCTCCTCCCATCCTTCCATGCCTTCATCCCTTCATTCCTGTCCTTCCATCTCTCCATTCCTTGTCCTTTCATCCCTCATTCTCTATCCTTCTCTATCCCTTCATCTTTCTATTCCTCCATCCTTCCATTCCTCCATCCCTGTCTTTTTGTCCTTCCATCCTTCTGTCCCTCTAGGCCATCCTTCTGATCCTCTTTTCATTCACTCTACTGTCCCTCCATCCCTGTCCTTCCGTCTCTCATCCCTCCATCTCTCCATCCTTCTATCTCTTCATCCCTACCATCTTCTTTCCATCCCTCTGTCCCTTCATCCCTCATCCTTCTTTCCATCCCTCTGTCCCTCTATCCCTCATCCTG